GTAAAACCTCCCTACTATTTAGTAGTGCATGCACATGTGTGATGGATTCCTTTCTTCTTCCACTCTCTCATTTACATCTTGGTGACAGGCACAAAAGGTATTTTCTGATAACCCATGCTTTATGGTTCCTCATTACCCACACCTCATCGGTGGTTCTCTAATCAAAACCTTCTTATACTTTATGGAATCGGTCGAAGAGCGGGGGTTAGCCATTCCTTTGGGGGCTGAGCTGACTATGGACGATTGACTTCTCAATTCTTCATCGACGGTCGAGTACTTTAGTTCACAAACTATGAACACTAAAGATCAGACAAAAAGTTACAGAAGGATAGTCTCACTTTGGTACATAGAGAAATAGAGTAATATAGTTGTAAATTTGGGTTACTCGACTCATTATCAACGGATTTAAGTCAGATGACCCGATCTTCGAATTATTGAAGTGGACTGAATATAAAGTTACGCATTATTTCCACAAGCTTCATAGATCAATCCAAATACAGCCTCATGATTATAAAAACAATATCAATCTTCTTAGGCTTCTGAACTTTAGTTTTGCTGATACAATAACTTAGATGGTTGTCAAACTTTTCATATATTTACCATAATTTAAAAAATGTGACGATAAAACTCCACTTGTTTCACTCACGATGCACCACTCTTCAATGCTGCAATTTATAACCATAACTTTGTAGCAAGATAGCATGGTGTGGTTTCCAATGATGAGAACTTAGAGATCTGAGAATTTAGGTTATTGTTTACATTAATTGTTTCAGAGGATATGAAGAGAAGTTCTGTATGGATTGAGAACTGAATGTTCAAATAGGGATAATTCTTCTTTTCTTTCTCACGCAATATTTTTAGACGAAGCTTTTAAAAGTTTTAATGACGGATATGGTTTCTTTAGCCCCAATAAGTTTTATGATACCCTCTCTTTCTCTATTGGCTTCGTATGCGACTGCCAACATTTTCACCTCTCTATAGCAATCCGAAGGCTAGGTCCATGAATAAAATAATTCTGTGTGGGATTTGCACGAGACATGAGACTAAGAGTAGAGGACGTTATAAAACATGAAGGAACCGTTTAACCCACGATGCCTAAGCTGTCATGGTGCTAGATCATGTCCTCAAGTTGGCTACACACCGCTCTCATCTTTGGTTCTCACATTGGCCATTAAAGACAAGGGCAGATGACTTCTTTGGTTCTCATCTTTGGTTCTCACATGAGCTGAGTATGGATAGATGACATCTTTGTTCTTCATCGATAGTCGAGTACTTAAGTGAGCATTGAAGATTAGATTAAAGGTTACACAAGGATAGTCCCACTTTGGTACGTAGAGAAATAAAGTAGTATAGTTGTAAAATTGGGTTAGTTGATTCATTATTAGTGTTGATTTTAAGTCAGATGATTCAATCTTCGAGCTATATTTCATTGTGAATTTGTTGCAATGATTGTATTGAAACATTTTCAAAATTAATAATAGATTATTGTGTCATAAAAATCAAATACTATAAGTGTATGGATGTCAAAAGTAAGGCCTCAAATTATTAAAGTGGACATCAAAAGTCATTTATGCATGAAGCCAAATAAAGGTAAATAAGTCATTTTAGAGAAAAATAGAGGACTCAGAAAATAGGTCAAAAAGTGTATGGCCCAATAAGAATTGTGTGAAACCAAGTAAGAAGTGAGAGGTGTGTAGACCCACAGAGATATGTCTCTACCCATATTTAGTAAGGAGAGAGAAATTGATGAAAATATGTAAACCACAACTAAAATGAAACAAGGTATTGAGGTTTATTTGTGGCAAATATTGAATGCTAATGACATGTGACATTATCTTACAATTCAAGAAACACATGGCAAGAAACAAAACCATGTGACACATGATAATGATATGATGCAAAATCAAAATGATAGAAGTTCAGATTAAGATGGCCCATGACATCACTTGATGGCACATAGCAAAATTAACATGCACATGGCATCAAAAGCTAGAGAAGGATTTGAAAATGAATGACATATCTATTAAACTTTAAGTCAAACTTGGATAAAAAAAGGGGGCCAGAATTAATCATACCCTAATTTGTCATTTTGTCAACCAATAATTTTCTCAACCGTCTATTTTTTATCCTGAGTTATTTTGATTTTTTTAGATCAAAGTGTACCATATTTAAGAGTTTTTATTGAGGTGAGGTTTGGTCCTCTACCTATGTCGGATCTCTAAGAACGCTTCATTCTTGGGTTCAATTAGACCAAGTATTTACCAAACAATTAGTGATTATTGGGTTAAACTCTCATAATTTTTCACTCAAAAAGTTTATTTTATATTCATAGCTTTGGTTGACCCAATGCTAATTATATATATAACTCTATTGAGTAATTAAATTGAAATTTAATCACAACTTTATTCTTTACAGTAATAAGTAAGAGTTTCACTATGTAATTTTTTTATAATTGATTTTAAGACACTAAATTTGCATGAAAAATTCGGCAAATAGGGTAGAATTTGGCTTTTTTTTTTCTTCTCTTCACATAGTGAAACTTTTTGGTTGATGGAGACATCAAGACTTAAATCAAGTTGAAAAGTTCACTTTAATTTCCATGTAGTTCTTTGTAGAAATCATTAGATAAAGAGATTATTAAGATATCAACGATTGTTGTTGAAAACTCATTAGGCATGATGGAGGCAGAACTTTGGAGAATTTTGATTCTGAAAGTTTATATCTCCTATGATTATTCAACATTACAATTCTAAAATTAGTCAAAATTATGAACAATTGAAAACCAACACGACATGTCCTCTAAGGTAGGTATCTTCTAAGAAAAATTCAATGCATTTAGCCACTAAAAATTACCATATATATCAAAAATTTATTGGTCTGGATGTGTCTAATAAAATCATTATCATTAAAAAATAATTTATTAATTTATTAATAATCCACATAACTTGATCCATTTATTTTTTGTGTTTTTTTCTCATCAGAATTTCATCTATTAATTAATTTTCTAACAATCTCCTTTTTGGTGATGAAAAAATCAATAGGGATAAGTCAAGAACATCAATCATTTAAGCTTTGAAAATTAAATTTTTATCCTTCTCACCAATTGATTTATAATAATACTAGTTGGATTTTAGTAGTCTATATAAATACCAATCCCAACATTCTTATTTGATATATTATATGCACAATACAGCCAGCAAGTTAGTTTTCAAAATTAAGAATAAGCAAAAGGTTGATATAACTTATGACACAATACATAGTTATTCCTAATAGTTCTCGTTTCTCAAATAGCCTCAAATGGCATGAATTGGCATATTATATCATGTTGAAGTAGATATCTTGATGTTGACAAGGTTGACAATTTTCTCATATGAAATTTATCAACATACATATTGTATGTTGGTGATAAAAAACATTGATGCAACCTCAACGAATTCAAGTAAAATATTAGTTTTAATTATCTTAAGTATATGTGTAAAACTCTTAAATTTGGTGACTTTCAATAAAAGTTCTTAATTTTCTGTAATATCATTTATTTTAGTATTTTATGTTGGTGTGATCTTATTTGTTTGAAGATCTACAACTAATTTTCCCGTAGTCTAAGGATGAAATGCCAAAAAGAACTTTTTACCCCAAATTTTATCAAAAATCCTCTCGTTTTTAATCCAAGCATCTTTCTTTTATTCCTTCTAGATTTATGGTTTGACCTTATTATCATATTTTAATAAAATAAATAAGAGTTCTCATGAGAATGTAATTATCATAGTTACTCTATACACTAACACAATACGGGTATATTGATAGTTCTACATTTCAATTATGGGACTACTATGTGATTTTATTCTTTTGTCTCCTAATTTTACCATTTGCACAGGTAATTAGGTCTCAATCTGGTTTGCATAAGGAGAAATAAGCTCATGCGTTTCCCCTAGGAGCAATTTGTTTGTGGGAGTCAACCATCTGATGTTTCAAGAGATCCAAGGAAACAAGATGAAAAGAGAGTTGAATCTATAGAGGAGAGGACTTCTAATAGGGTTTCAAAACTTAACATTCGAAGCATCCATCTACTTGTTGATTGTCCCCCCCACCATGGAAAAACATATAACAAGGAGAGAAAAGAAATCTGTTGGTAGGTTTGACTTTCAAGGTACATGGCCGTGTGCTAGTGGCAGTAGGGAACATGATGAGCAGTTCTTGCTTGCGGAAAGGAGTGGTAACTTTCTTTATGGAGAAAAGGTATGACAGAGAAAATGATATTGCTATTGCAGTTTAATATATAAATTACCATGCAGTGAAGCCTGTATGTCTTGTAAAACGAAAGGAATAGACAGAGTAATATCTGCTCATGATAGGAGAGGGAAAAAAGAATAAGCCCAATTCAATGAATATGAGACCCTCACTCACAAAATTGCCGAGTTCCCAGGATTCCATTGACAATTTCCCCAAAAACTCTAGTAACTAACCTCTTTAGAAACTGGGCTTGATATGATCATATTCTTTTACCAGTATCAGCTCTTGATGACATTCCCATGACTGATTTCTAATGGAAACCAAGACACATCTCTTTGGGAAGCTTTCTGTGTCCTGATAATCAGTCATGGAATTGCTGGCCGGAACCAGAAAGATGCTCACAGTTTTTGATTTACATACCAATCAGCAGCTGAAGTAGAAGACAACTGATCAGTGATCGTCCCACAGCCAATATCATTCGTCTCGACAACGTGTTCACATTCCTCAATAAACCTGGTCCTCAAACTGGATTCTTCGGACCAAGCGGGAAGGCTCGATTAGATGAATCAAATATTTTATAAAACATTCACATAATCGCAGGAGAGTAGAGAGATGTACAGTCGCTTGAACAACTTTTGTGTTGTGTGTCTCCTCTGCTCATTCACGGCCAACACGCCGGAGAATGCAGTCACCTGTGCCAAGTGATACACACAGAGGAAGGGCCAGAACGAAGAGCAGAGAGAGATACCAGATGAGAGCATATCGATAGATCAGAAGATGAACCACTTCCTAGTAGGAGGCTTCTTGGCATCTGGTCTTTTCTTCTTCGCCTTCTCGTTCTCCCTCGTGCCAACCTCCTCTTGATCAGATTCTTCGTCGTCGTCTTCTTCTTCTTCTTCTTCTTCTTCTTCTTCTTCTTCTTCTTCTTCTTCTTCTTCTTCTTCTTCTTCTTCTTCTTCGTCTTTCGTCCTTGTGTTGTCCTCCTCGCTTTTTGTGTTGGAGACTAGATCGAGGCGGACCGCGTCCATTGCCCACTGCATCAGCTTCTCCACCTCCTTTTCGGAGACACTGCCCCCCTCGCCGTCGTCAGATTCGCCACTATCGCCCTCATCGTCTTCGGCAGGGAACCGGTCTCGGGGCCGGTCAACGCCATCCGCAGGAAGATGAGAAGAAATGGAACCCTTGAGGGCTGCGAATCTGGACGCGAGGTCATCCCCTAGGATCGTGCTCATTTCATCATCATCCCCCTTTCTTCCTCCTCCTTTCGTCTCCTTCGCATCAGAGCCAACGGCATCTGGTGCGGCTCCTCCACCACTCCGATCCGAAGTGGCGATCGATGGCCTCTGCGCGGCGGGCGCGGGGCTCGACTTGAGCACCTCGAACCGCCTGGCGAGATCCGGATCGAGGGAAGAGGAAGAGGCGCCGGAAGAGAAGGGCGACGAGGAGGCGATATGGCTGTTGACGCTGAGCCTGAGGAGCAGGTCGTCCTGCGCGGCCTTCAGCAGCTCTTCCACCTCCCTCTGGCCCGGATCAAACAGGGCTTCTGTTCTTTGAGGCCTCCCACCTCCGCTCATCCTCAGCCCTCTTCTCCGAACTCTTCCTCCCGAAGCAAGAAGACGCTGGTCCTGTTTTCTACCTTGTACCAGCCGTCCGGGTATAAACTTATCGGGCCTATAAGAACAACTTGTGGGCCGGTAAAACAGCGGCCCAAGTGCGAATTTCGCATACGAAGCCTCCTTCCTATTCGGAGCCCTTCGCTCTTTCCCGTGGTGTCTGGTATTTGTTCCCATCCTCTAGTGGCGCTCGATTCCTTCACCTCGGTTCCCGTCTAGAGGCCGAGGTACAAAGCAGTACTCTGTTATGGTTGTCTCGCCCATTCCTCTATCTTCCTACCTCTCTCTTCATCGCATGATCTCTCTTCCGTCACCCTAACAGCCTTGCCTTCTCACTCTTTCTCCTGGGCTCCTTTCTATTCTTTCTTTGTGAAATTCTATCAATGCTCCTGCTAAACCCCACCCATTTCGTGTGTAACATAGAGAGAGAGAGAGAGAGAGAGAGAGAGAGAGAGAGGTAATAGGATGAGAGAGACGACTGGAGGAGATGATCAAGCACTGCCCGATTAAGGTCATCATCTCTGGGGAGAGGTGTGGGAGGGCTCCGCCCATGAGCTTTCTTCAATTGTGACATATGGAATATACAATGGATATTCAATATAGTTGGGAGATCTAAGTCATAGGCTATGGGTTTAGTACATTAGAGGATTGGAAATAGGTTATAATAGCATAGAATAAGTTCCTCGTATGGCCTGCAACCAAGAGACTTCTATCTATATGGTCAAAGTCATATGTAATTCCTGCAAAATACCCTAAAATCTCCACACAAAAAAACTTATAAATTATAAGAAAATCTAGAAATCTAAAGTAAATTCTAAAAAATATAAAACTTTAATTAAAAAAATATTGTATGTATAATTATTTAAAATTATGTATCTTAAAATAATATCAAAATATCAGAATATATGTTTTTATCCATGAATGATCTAAGTATCCAGAAATTAAATGGTAACATGCATTATTTCTATAAATTTTATGCACTAAAGTATGATAAATATAGTGTACATACATGATAAGAATCCATGTTATCAGTAGGTTGTCACTACTTTTGAGTTTTAGTAAAATGCACCATTCTTCAACTATTGAGTCAATGGTCAAACTAGGGACCCAAATGTTGTGATGAATCAACGATACTAACTAATGAGGTCCAAAAATTTATTGAATTCACAAAGATTTACTAAAGATAGCCATCATAACATGACTTTCACTTTGTCTTGATCAACTAAGATGCTTTTCATTAATATTGTGTCATAAATAAGCTATTTTTTATTTCTTTAAAATAAATTAATTTGGATTGAGGTGTAATTTCTCAAACAAAATACGTTTTACATCTGATATGATGAGGACTAATGAAGTAGGCCACCATCTATATCTTATGTACATCAAACTCAGGTATATTAAGGAGTAACTTCTTTGTTATTAAGTATTTACTTCTTTATCCTCAATGTCAAAGAGGGTATAAATAACTTAAAAATAGAGAAAAATTACTTGATTTTAGATGTTTACATTTCATCTCTTTTTGAGGAAAAGGAGATAAAGGTATTTAACATTGCTCCATGAGGGAGAGGCCATGAGGGTCCTTATCCATCCACATCATCCATTTGATGTCCAATGCTCTCTATCCATCATCATCAATCCACATATGGCATCATTGAGCATCCTCCATTGTCTTTCAACCATCATCCACCCTTGTTGTCCACCATCTATCATCTTTCAATCATCATCTGGCCACCATTTACTATTTATAATCATTTGGTCACCATCTACTATCATCATCTACTAGACCTATGCATTCTGTTATCATCCACTTCCATTGTTCAATATCTATCTATTTTCATCCGCCATTCACTTGTTATGTGACACCATCATCTGTCTAGTGTCATCGACTATTCTCGATCCCCATGCAAGTTCTGTTATTTGCTCAACCATTCTCTCAGCTTGTCACTTCATCTACTCTATTTCGCTGTTCCATCGTTCTGCTATTTCGGCTACTTCATTGCCGCCCACTCTATCCATTCCCCCCCTCATTTCTCATTCCGTTGGATTAAGTCCACGTTCACTGGTTTAGTGACTTGGCGATTTGCTAAACCAAAATTGGCTCAATTCTACTAAGGAGATCTCCAAGAATCTAGGAGCCCTTCATCGCTCCTTATGTTACTACTACTCTTCTCTCTCTCTCTCTCTCTCTCTCTCTCTCTCTCTCTCTCTCTAGATCTGGATTTTTTAAATGTGCAAGTCGAAATGGTATATGTTCAGACTTTTCAGCAGGGTTCTATATAGTGAGAAATTCCCGAATAAATATTTATGCATCAATAAAAGCCCCGGTTTTTCTCTCTCCCACAGGATCAGGATTTTCTAATCGTTAATTATATAAATAAACGATCACCGTCCAAGGGCTGGGAGATCTGTCGCCTGTTTGGGTTTATATTGCGCAAAAGGGCCACTGTAGTGGGCCGTATTCTTATCAACAGCTTCAGCCCACTATCTCTGGCCCACACAGTAATAGCCCACGTCAGCTAACAAAAAGCTGAAATTTTTGAAACGCTGCTTTGGGATTATGGGTGACGTCATGATCCCAGGCTCGCCGCCCAAGACGATTCGTGCGCGCGTGTCACGACCTGACAGCCCGAAAACGAGAAAATATTTTATAATAGAATGATACGTCCGTCTCTCTCTCCACTGCAGCGAGGATTCTCTCCCTACTCGTTCCAACGGACAAGTGGCGCGAGCATGACGTCATAAGTGGAGAACAAATGGACCGATTCCAAGGCTTACGAAGAAAAGATAGAATTTATAAGGACTTAATGGTAATTATAAATATTTTATTTACGGTTTATTTTCATATAATCGAACGCAGTTTTATTGTGTAGAAGCTATTAAAAATCAGTTAATGCCCGTCCCCCACCCTCCGGAGAGCATCGGTGACCACCGTGGGCTCTCTCCCTGGGGTGACGGTGCTGCGTGACTACATATTGACCATCGATTTTCAGACGGAGCAATCTCAGCCGTCGATGTGGACCCCTTGCGTCGGTAGCTCTCCATTTCCGACATCTTATCGGTAACATCCGAGATCCGCATTCGTTGAACTCGGAGTGGGTCCCGAGATTCTGTGAAAATGGACGGGCAGGATTTCTTTTGAGCAGTGTGATGATTAACCGGTGATTAACCCCGCATTCTGGGCGCCGTTAAATGCCCACAGCTGTCCAGATCGAGCCACGACCCAGCCAGGCGTCGGTGAGTCAACCATGGTTAGATCGTAGTTATCTGCAAGGCATTTAATCGACTGTGTCGGAGCAAAGCGGGGTTCTATAAAAAAACTCTCTGGAAAGGTGGTGGCGGAGAGGAGGTCGCCGGAGTTGCTTTCTTCCTCTCCGACGACCAGGCAGGGCGTCATGAGAGAATCTAATGGCTCCATTTTCATCGATGTGGAGAGGATCTCTCTCGGCGGCAAGGTACCGCTCTGCCACATTCCATTCTGCCGCTGCCATCTGCGTGCGGGGACTGTACTTCCTCTTTTTTGCCCCATTGTCGGTTCTTCTTCTTAAGTTTTTCTCTTCTTGCTCGGGACTATCCGTGCCTGCCATTGGAGTTCATTGTATATTTCTTCGTTAGAGTATGATTTTTTTAGTCGCATTCCCATTATCGGGGATTATTTCCCGATTTTGTGCCTGGTGCCTATCGTATGAGAGTTTTTCATTCTTTTCTTTTACTTGGAGATTCATGATGAGTTGAAAGGATGTAGACCTCAATGAGACTGGCTTTTTTGGTTTCATCTAGACTTGCGCCGGATATTATTTACGCCTCTTATATTTCCTCCGGTATGTCATGAGCATTGAAAATTTGTCAAACATTTTAATGCATTGCCATCGAGTTTGTTTGATGTGGATTTAAACAAGGAAAGCGAGGTTTGACATTACTCACACTTCACCACGCCTGAAACAATAGGAACATGTAACTTGACACCTTCGTGATCTGTTTCCCGAAAGTTTGTTGCTCTCTGATAAGCTTTTGCCAGATGGTTAGACCGATCTTCAGGTTCTCAGGGATATTGTTTTAATGCATTGTGGTCAAGTTTGTTTGATGTGGATTTAAACGAGGAAGCGAAGCTTGACATTACTCAGACTTCACCTCGCCTGAAACAATAGGAACATGTAACTTGACACCTTCGTGTCTGTTTCCCGAATATTTGTTCCTCTCCGATAAGCATTTACCAGACGGTTAGACCGAGCTTCAGGTTATCAGGGCTATGATGGAACTGTCGACTATGTCGATGTGATCGGTTGCTATCATTATATCGACATGCTTTTGTCATCTGTATTCACGAAATGCCAGCTTTTTTTGTGAGACTTTCGTTATTCGGTTCTGTGGTGCCCTTTTCTAGTTATGTTTTCTCCCTTTCTTCCTTCATTCCTTTCTCATGATCACCATATCGACCTTCTCTGTTCAAACCTTTTTGGAATTCTTCCTGACTTTTCGTGGAGGTTTCACCTATCCCCTCATACATAGCCTTCTCCTGTTATTTGGTCGTAGAATCTCTTGACTCTCTATTAATACCCCGGTTCTCTGTGATTCTTACTCAGGAACATATCATAAAATGTAGGCGTGGATCCGTTTCTGTTGTTGTTTATGGGGACCGAAGCAAGCCCGCACTTGTCACATATCCCGATGTAGCTTTGAATCGTAAGTGCCAGGACTTAATTTCTTAATAAGGACTGTGATCAGCTCTATTCCTTGATCAACGGTCGGATCCTGATTCCAACAATAGGGTCTCGTTTATATTTGGTTGTAGCGTCTCTCAGTGTTTAGTCGATCAAATACTTCATTGTTTATCTATCTGATCCACAAAATCGGCTCATTTTGATATATAATTGTCAGTCCATAATTTCGCTGATATTTTATTCTTATGTTGATCAGATATGTCATGTTTCCAAGTATTGTTTTTCTGCCCAGAAGTATCTTCCTTGCTGCTCCATAATTTTTGCATTTATCACATCAGCCCTCCTGGCCACGAGGTTGGTTATTACAGCGTTAGCTCTCTGTGGATTAACAGTGTACTTCATAAAAACTAAAAAATCAAGAGTTCTTGCAGCTGGGTGCCGCCCGAATTGCTTCAAATGTCCCCATTCCATCCGTTGATGATTTAGCAGATCAAGTTGCCGATGTTCTCAACTTCTTTGGGTAATACCTGAAGTAATTCATCTCGAATTCTTCTCTGCGGGGAAAACTTGAAATCCCGTGGTATCCTGATGCACCTCTCATCTTTTCCGAATGCCAGATTAGGAGCTGTCATGTGTATGGGCGTGACTGCCGGTGCTTACATCCTTAGCCTATTCGCTGTAAGTTCCTTGAACAAATACCACAATGGCAGTCATATCATGCTTGTTTATATCTTCTTCCCCACTTGTCTCGCAGATGAAATATGGGGAGCGGGTTCTTGGGTTGATACTGGTCTCTCCCCTGTGCAAAGCTCCGTCGTGGACTGAATGGTTCTTCAATAAGGTTTGAGCTTCTGGGTCACAGCAGTAGCTACCAATTTAGGCCTTCTGTGCGAGTTCAGCTGACCAATGAGATCCATTCAACACTCTACAGGTGATGGCTAACCTGCTCTACTTCTATGGAACATGCGGCTTGCTGAAGGAACTCCTGCTCCAGCGGTACTTCAGCAAGGTAGTGGGACCGACATATCTCTCATCGGCACTCACCTTCTTCAACATTGCACCCTCCGTTGCCTTACTCTCCCCTGTTTGTTCTATGTGCAGGAAGCCCGGATGGTCGAGTCAAATCTAGTGATAGCCTGCCGAAGCGTGAGTGTTTCTGTCAGTCAAGATGTCTTCACGGGTGATTGGTGCTCTTGAGGACTGACCAGCTTTCCTGACGAACTCTCTCGTTCTCCCCCTCCCTGCAGCTGCTCGACGAGAGGCAGAGTACAAACGTCTGGCGATTTCTCCAGTCCATTGATGGGTATTCTGCTTTCTATTATCCCCCATTTTCACGATTGATGGGTATTATATTTCCTGTATATATATATAACAAATAAAAAAAATCGATCCCCTTTTCCCCCCCGCTTTGTCACGTCAGACGGCGCGACATCTCCGAAGGTCTCAAGGATCTCCAATGCCGGACCTTGATCTTCGTCGGCGAGAGCTCCCCCTTCCACTGTGAAGCCCTGCACATGTTCTCCGAGCTCGACGAGAGACGCGCCGCCCTGGTCGAGGTTTGCTACTAATATATTTCCATATATAATCTTCCTCTCCCCATCCCCTTCCTCCTTGCATAGCTTCGTCACCAGGCTTCTGTGCACAGGTCCGTTCTTGCGGGTCCCTTGTGACGGAGGAGCAGGCCAGCGCCATGATGGTCCCTCTGGAGCGCTTCCTCATGGGCTACGGTCTCCACCGGCCGGCGAGCACCGGCGGCAGCCCCCGGAGCCCCCTCAGCCCCTCTCACATCTGGCCGGAGCTCCTCTCGCCGGAGAGCATGGGCTTGAAGCTCAAGCCGATAAGGACCAGGCTTCCTGGTGGCTCCCAGTAGCCAGCCAACCTGCAATCTACAGTACCCTTCCTTCCCCGTCTTTCCAGCTGGGGAATCGTCCTCACTCGGTGTATAGAACACACGGGTTTTAGAGAGAGAGAGAGAGAGAGAGAGAGAGCGAGAGATTCTATTCCATTCGTTTGTAGTCAGTCAGTGGGCGTCTGTACAGTCATTGGTTTATGTATGGAATCGTCAGAATAATGTAATGATAGAATTCTTGTGGGTTGCCTCTGACGTGCCTTGTCGAGAAGGAGGAAAAAGGACCGTTGCGCTGTATTTATCTGCCTGAGGAGCTGACCCGGTTTGGCCGTCACAGGCTGGCTTCCTCCCGCCGCTCTCGTCCCCTCCTTGGTTGCATCCGACGTGGCTTCCCTCGCCACGTCATCAATCCAGTAATCCATTAATGGGCCTAGCTCTTACAAGCAGATTAAGCCCAGCTGGCACCTGTTTATAGGATTTTTCAGTTTTATTGATAAATTCTCTTATGCTCCCTACAAATCCCGTAATCCATTGGGCTTGGGGTGATTTATTTATTTATTTATTTACTTACCTACTTACTTACTTACTTACTTATTTATTTATTTATTTATTGCGTTTCTCTAGTTATTCGCCCTTGTAGGATTTAATTTATGACTCCCAGCAAACTGCATAATCCTTATTTTTCAGCCACCCCAGCATATTTCATCAGCTTGACTTTACTCGAATCGAGCCGTATTAAGCTAAAGATTAAATAAGAATTAAATTACTATAAATGCATCTTCTCCGAGGAAAGCGTGCAATAGACACTGGGCAATCCATGCAGCCGCACCAGTGGTTTGCCAACGAGGAAGAGCCCCAGCTGGACCCATCCAACGGGATCCAGCATGCGATCTCGATTCAGCATTGACCTGAAATTTAGAGTGCAAAAAATCTCTTGGCATTCGACGTTGACATTTGATCGTCCATGCAAGAACAACGATCCATAGATCCATGAGCGCATGCTGAAAGGGAGTAAGTAATCCTCCGATTGAATGAAACCAGGCTTAATAAGGGCAGAGGAGAATCTTGAAAAACTACTATAAGAAGCCAGCTTCGTCTCATGAACCCTTCTGCAGCTGACGGGTTCTTTATCTTTAATAGGAGGAAAGTCAGCGATGGAGTGAGCCTCTGCGAGTCATGATGCTCTGATTTCTGAAGCTATGACGGGAAAGCAAGTCAACCAGGGTTGACTGATCTTGACGAGGAAGATCAGACGGTCTGTTGATCAAATTCAATAGAATGGAAGCTAAGGCTGGAAAGGTCAACTTGGGGTGGGGGGAGGCCTACGGATGATGTTCTAGATTTACAGGAACTGCGGGGGTTTATACGGGGAGGTCGAGGACGAGATCCAGGTTAACTTGGAGGAGGAAGACGAAGAAAGTAGGGAGTGCGGTGAGCTTTCTGAGCTGAAGCTCGGTCGGAGCCTACCGGAGCTGCGGGGACTGGCCTCCAACTGCTGCACCACGGAAACTGATATCAGAGAGCACGCGGGGCGGCTGTTCTAAGTCAACGGCTGACAAGCATGGGGTCTGATGTAGATATTCGATAATACCCATAAGTTAATCCATTGACTGACTGTTTAAGGCGATAGAAATATTCTTTGAAACGAAACATGTTCTTACAAATGTGATCCCACTATGTCTATCGGCGTTCAGAAGAGAGAGCGAGAGAGAGAGAGAGAGAGAGAGAGAGAGAGAGAGAGGTGACATGTGTTGGGATGTCCTCATCTCCGTCTTCATATCTTCGAGGACGGGGTTCCAGCTGGTGAGGCGGCCTCTCCTCCGAACTCTCGTCACTGATGACTGCACTTAGTGGCCCTCGGGATTCATACGGAAAGGAATAGCTCCAACATCTCAACTACAGCGGAAGCTTCGCCGAGGGATAGATGACGAAAGGTCAAAACGATGAAAAATATTATATAGAATATAGTTGAAAAACTTACTTGTCTTGGAGAAATTTTCTTACGTCTACGACATAATGAAAAGGAAAGCTTTCTTGAATAGCTTAGATCTCTTCGCCGATGTTGGAACGACGACTAGTATTCTTCCTCTTCCTCTTGCAGTCATTCTTCGTAAGCAGGTCTTTCGGATTCCAAAGGGGACACCATGTACCAGAGAGTAACGTAGAGGACCAAGTAGCCCCCGAAAAGCTCTCTCTACTCGCTCGCTTCAGGTCCCACAGTGGGTACTCGAAGAACAGAGTGACAGAGAACATGGAGGAACGCAGGGTCCATCTAAATGGACAACCCCCAGCGCTCTCTCTCTCTCTCTCTCTCTCTCTCTCTCTCTCTCTCTCTCTCTCTCTCTCTCTCTCTCTCTCTCTCTCTCTCTCTCTCTCTCTCTCTCTCTCTCTCTCTCTCTCTCTCTCTCTCTCGCTCTCTCAATAGTCAGTAGATTACTTCTAGAGAAAACAGAAGTATGGAAAGTAATGGTCTAAACTCCTGGTAACTCGACTAATATTTGACTTTTTACTTCGCGAAAAACAACTGATACTCAGACTGTGGACTCCCATACTTCTCTGACACTAGTCGTGTAACTAGCTGCCCTAAGACAAAATTCCATTGCCTTCAACATTTTTTTTCCCTTACTACGCATAAAAAATTAAACAAAAGCAGCGATATGAGCAGCAGGATCTTCGAGGGAGATCAATAACGGGTGCCTAGTTTATAGATATTGACCACCATAATACCTAGTTTAGCAATTTATCTTTGACGTCATCTGAACAGCAATCCCCGCAAAGCCTTGGTTTTCAGACATCTGGGTTCATTATAGGTGAATGAATAACTCAATACTTTGTATAAATGAATGGGTCAGTTGGATCGCAGTTGTACATCAGAGGTCATGCTTCTATGTCGTTGACCTAAAACAGCCTCCCTGCGTATTCACTGATCTCGCTTTCCCTGGTGCAGCAGTGGGAGGCCAGTCGCCGGAGCTCCGCCGGGCTCCGGCCGAGCTTCAGGGCCGTCTTCAGCTCAAAAAGCTCACCGTACTCCCTCTTGTCTTCCTCTTCCTCCCCCAAGTTGACCTGGATCTCCTCCTCGATCTCCCTGTAGAAACCCGCGGAGTTCCTGGACATCTCGAACACCATCCCCACCTGCCCGCCGTGCTCGAACGAGTTGACCACCGTGGCTAGGGCGCCCCCCACCACTGCCACAAGCACCGGCCATGTCCCCGAGACGCCGGGGCCCATCATGCTCGCTCCGACGGCGGCGAGTCCGGTGAGCAGAGGGCCGGAGATCGCCAAGACGCTGTTGATTCCCAGAACGAGCTCCCCCAGCTTCACGTACTCCGCCGTGTCGTTCTTCTTCAGCGTCCTGAGAACCCCGTTCATGGCGTACTCTAGCCCCTCGCTCCAGCCATTTTTCTTCCCGGTGGATAGCCGGTTCCGACTAGGCTGGCGGCGTTCCGGCCACCAGGCGGCGGGTTCCACCTTCTGGGGGAACTTCTCCAGCATCCCCGGGAGAAGGGAGAGCGGATAGGCCTTGTCTAGAGCCAGCACCCTCTCCAACGCGTCCTCGACATCGGCGACTGTGGAGCCGCCGACGGCGATTGCGGTGCGGATCTTCTTCTCCAGTTGCCGGAACAGGCGGGCGGCGTTGCGCTGCTCTTCTGCAAGCTGGGACGGCTGGATTTTGTTCACCACGAGGGATATCGCCGTGGCGGCGGAGTAGAGAATAGCGGAGGAAACCTTCAGCGCCCCCTGGTGGGGCTCCATGGCCGATAACCCGGCGGCGATGGAGGCCGCAAGGGTCATGGAGTTCAGGGAGTTGAGCAGGAGGGTGTTCCAGCCGTCTCTCTGAACACCGATGGCGTCGTGCATCGCCGCCCGATCTGCAGCCGCCTCCATGATTGCGTAGAGCTTGGCTGTGTTTCCATGGTCTCCCTCGCCTGCGCAGGACGTCGACGCCTGCTCCGCTTGCTCCGCATGACCGATCGGAGGGTTCGTCAGCTGTAGGAACATGAACTCCTCTACGGGAATCCTCATGGGGAGTTTCTGCACAGAGAGGCTCTGGTTCTTGGGTTTGGTGATGTTGGGGAGCCTTGGTCGAATTCCGCTTCTCTGTGGAGCCGCCGAGGAGGAAGACGACGGTAGCACAGCCAGGTTTTGCATCCGCAGCGATCCCATCTCTCTCTGTGTCTGTCTCCTCTCTCTCTCTCAATCTCTTTCTCTCTCTACTGGTTCTAGGGTTGGTGGCTGGAGAAGTGAGAGAATCGGCAAACGGAGAGGGTGAGTTTGTCTCGGGTGTGTGAGGTTGGGAGGAAGGGGATGATGTTATATAGCTGTAGGTGCAGGTGGGGGCGGAGGGCCGGTGAGGACGGACCAGGGCGTTCGGTCCTACTGTTGACTTTGCCCGGGTTCCTGCGCCACGGTCAGAGGAGTCGGAAGTCGTGAACTCGTCCACCGAACCGAGTCGTCTTGTTTTCACGCGGGCTGATTTTTACCGAGTTATTTGAAATATTAGTGAATTGAAATCACGACCACGGGCCGATTAAGTGACTTACGGGCCCAGGGAAAAGCCCGAATTATTAGCAAATCAGTGCTCGTTTTCATCACTCCCGGCCCTGGAGGGCTTCTGGTGGCGTGGGCAAGAAAGCCCGGCCGGCAAGCCCCGAGCCGCCAACCGGGTTCGGCTATTAATCCGAACTAGTCGTAACACGGATTCCAACGCGGATAATTATTTGGACTTCTCTACGCGGCGCTGCGGGCCTTACTTATTGATGACGTCACCAATTAGAAGAAACATCACTCAACCAATCGGGCGCTCTGATGGATTCCGATCTTCCCCAACGGGGCAATCGATCCACGCTGTAGAGGCTCGCAGTCGCTGGCGGGAGGCTCGCCGGAGGAATTCCTCCGGCGAAGGTGAGGAGGTTCGCCGGAGCGACGTAGAACTGCATTCTGCTGCTTGTTCATGCCGTGCTGAACCTTCTCTCTTCTTCTTCGCCTTCTTCTCTTCTCTCTCCGTCGGCGACCTTTTCCGAGATTTTGTTGGTATATATATGCGTGGGGAGGGGAGTCCTGCTCCGGTCTCCATTCCCATCCCTGCTTCTTGGATCCCTGGCCTCCTCCAATGGCCGGCGAGGGGAGGGGGGGAGGAGGCGACGCGGGGGAGGGACGACGGGGAGTGTTCCGCGCGATCGAGGAGTCCATGCCTGTTTTCGCCAAGGAGCTCGTGGCGGGCGGGGTCGCAGGCGGGATCGCCAAGACCGCCGTTGCGCCGCTCGAGCGAGTGAAGATCCTGTTCCAGGTAAAACTCTTACTGCAATTTTTCCCTCTGTTTTCTTTTGTTGTGCAGTCGGATTCTCGGAGCAGATGAGGGATTTTTGTTCTCCCTCTCTCCTGGCTAGCTTTCCTGCAGATTATTCATGTCGGCCATGTTCGGGTGGCACGATCGAGAGAGAGAGAGAGAGGCTTCGGGTAGAGACCTACCTGCATCGTAGGCGTAGTATGTCCTCTCCAGAATTCCACAATAGTGCTTCTCATTACAAGCTGATAGGATTATGAAACAACTGGCCAGACCAAAAATCTTTGGGAAAGGAGAATTTTAACGAATGTGCAAAAATGGATGGAGAACCTCTTTCAATGCTCTCTGGTATCTCTCGGGACTGAAACAAGTTCGATTTGGAATCCATGATAAATGAGCGATTCAGACTGAAACAACGAATTCCATTAGTTTTCTTGAGTTATTTAGCGGGTCTTTGATACAACCAGCTGACATCTAATAAACACCATAGAAAATATACTTGTTTATATAATAATCGATCACTCAGGGGCATGGCCTGCTCGCCATACTTATACCTAAATATACCAGTGCTTCTCTTTCAGACCAGGAGAGCTGATTTTCAGAGCGTAGGATTGCTGGGCTCTTTCCAGAAGATAATGCAGAGGGAAGGGATTCAGGGTTTCTACAGGTCTGCTCTTCTTCTGATGTTGCATCAGTCTTTCTAGCATGGAATCTCTCTGATATTCTCCTGTGGCTTCACTCCAGGGGAAATGGTGCCAGTGTTGCTCGGATAGTTCCATATGCTGCTTTGCATTACATGGCTTATGAGCAATATCGTCGACTGATCATCCTCAGTTTCCCCACTCCTATACGAGGACCTGTGCTTGATCTTCTTTCAGGATCGGTTGCAGGAGGAACAGCGGTTATCTTGACTTATCCACTTGATCTAGTCCGCACTAAACTAGCATATCAGGTAAAAGAAGACTTAGTCAAAAGGTAATTTCTTCCCCTCCCAATTTGGAGGTTTGAATTATTGTGTGGACCTGCAGGTTGTAAGTCCAACCCAGCTGAATATGAGAATGCTGTCTCCAACGGAGCAGGTTTACAAAGGAATCGTTGACTGCATTCTAAAGATCTACAGGTCATGTGGCATAAGAGGCCTTTACCGCGGTGTTGGTATGTATCAAGAACAAGAGTTGCTTCTGTTTTTGCGAGATAACCATTGGAAGCTTTATAATTCTAGATAGCCGCCTTGTTGACCAAACTAATACTAGATGTCTCTGTAAGAAACAGTTAGATACATATATGAAATCCATAACCATGAGATAAGTGAGACTAAAACCTCCCAGAGAATTATCCACTGCATTCAGTCTGCATCGCTTAATGGACACCCAGATCTTCTATAAAGCTAGGCAACCCTAGAGACTCCTGGAGATCAGATCACATTGGTCTTCAAAAAAGAAGAATTCTTCTTCGATGCTACAGAGAGAAGGTAGTCGAAATAATTGCCATTGATGGTGCTCGCTCCCATAATCCGAACCCTCACTGTCTTCACCACATGTTCAGCCTCCTGGCTAGCAATATCGTGACTATTCATCAATCCCTCTCCATAAAATGGTGGATAAGACCCCGTAGATCTTCCAGCAGATGCCGTCACAACTCTTCCTGTTCTTGCCTGGTTCTTGAATGATGCTGGGGTAAAATCTCTTATTTTTCACTATAGAACCTGGCCGTTTTATTCTAAGATATCGGCTCAATGATCATATACCAAATTCAGATTCACTAGATGTTCCGTTCAAATGAATCAAGCTTTTGAATGAGCATTAATTTATTGGAATTGTCAAGCTTTTCTGTTTATATTATCTGGGGAACTCTACTTCTCCTGATCTTGCGGGTGCGTCTACCAAATCTATACATGCAGCAAACTTGTTCCGTGGTCAAAACATAGTGGTATGAAAAGATGTCCTGTTCTTCCCCGGTTCATTCACCAGCAACTCCATCCTTTAGAAGAATTTTTCCCCACATTAAATCTATAATTGAAAAGATTTTATGGCCGTGCTACTCGGACTCGGATCTGATGTCTCTGTAGAGAACAGCAAGTTCTCTCTTTAGAAGCTTACACTCGCTCTGTCTCTCTCTAGACTAGTTCACATCTTCTTGTGCTCAGCATCATACTTGTCATGAGAAAAATGACTCTCTGTATATATAGTCTGTCCAAGCTTAGCCTGGTGTTCGTCAGAACCATAGATATATATATGTATATAGTATTTATGGATTATTGGTTTCTGGTCAGGCCCGTCGCTGTACGGAATCTTCCCATACTCTGGTCTGAAGTTCTACTTCTACGAGGAGATGAAGACCCACGTCCCAGAGGAGCACAAGGAAGACATCGCCGTCAAGCTCGCCTGCGGATCCATCGCCGGCCTGCTCGGCCAGACGTTGACCTACCCTCTTGACGTCGTCAGGCGGCAGATGCAGGTACCGTCTCCCTTTCCCATCACCGCCTCTAGAAAGTCGAAGTGCGAAAGAGATTTTTCCGTCTTCCTCAGGTGCAGGCATTCTCCGAGTCAACCCAGCGAGTCGGGAAGGGCACATTCGGAAGCCTCGTTCTGATCTTCAGAAGGCAAGGCTGGCGGCAGCTCTTCTCCGGTCTCAGCATCAACTATCTCAAGGTCAACCATCCTCCTCCTCGCCTCGCCCACAAAGATCGCCAGAAAAAAAGGGAATATGGAAAAATGGGCCCTTTTAGTTTATCCGCAGAATATTCATCTCTCTGCGACGATTCCTCTGCAGGTGGTTCCGTCGGTGGCGATCGGATTCACCGTCTACGATCAGATGAAGTCGCTGCTGAGGGTTCCGTCGAGAGACGACGGCCCGCCCGTCGAGGCGGTCAAGGAGGAGATGACCCGCCACGCGACGTCTCTGCGTTCTCCGTGAGTCAGCGGGCCGCCTCTCCCCCGTCGCATCTCCATTCATCACAAATGTACAGCCCACCTCCCCCGTTCACCGGGAGAAGATGGGGTTAATCAGTCTTAACTTCTTGACGGCCTTACCCCTCTCTCTCTCTCTCTCTCTCTCTCTCTCTCTCTCTCTCTCTCTCTCCAGATTATGCTCTGGGCTAAGCAAGGGAGAGATTTTTGGGCCGTATCCATCCGACCCGAACCACTTGGAGTGGGCCCATTTATTTTTCTGTTGGGAGTACAGTGAGACCGCATTGAGCCTTATTGGACCTCCCCAAATATCACACCTTGCTTGCTTCTTACTGTGCTAAATGGGCCTCACTATGGTCTCTCTTATATTCGAAGGACTTCGGCCTACGCCCAGAAGTCTCCAGAAAGCGCCCAAAGTTGCGCTGGGCTCCAAGAATATCAAGCCCAGAGTAAAAAATCCCATTGGGCTCAGTCCCGGCTCTGGACCGTAGCATTACCGCGCACGTCTTTCCTAAAATAAGGACGACTTGGGCCCAAATCACCAACCTCGCATTGCATTCGTGGGGACCCATGACGATAGATCCGGACCGTTGGATGGTCATCAAGAAAGAGTAGGATGCCAGAACAATGGGTCCAATCCGGTCTTTAAATAGAAATAATAATAATAATAATTTATAAAGGAGATTACCTCGGGCCATTTATTTCAGTGGGAAGACGACCTTGGGCCATTTATCTCTCGTCATAAGAACCTGCTGAAAGAAGATAAAATTAATGGGCCATTTGTAGCAGTAATGCTCCCTTGGAAGGCAACAAAGAGTGAAATTAATTGATCCAAGCAGAGCCACTCGTATTTCTTTCAAAAATATATTTTCCCAGATGGATTTTCACCCATCAACCCAAGACGAGTCTGAGAGTATTGCCCAAATTATTCATTAATGATTATATGCTGAAAGAGCTTGGGCAATAAGACTCTGATTCCGAAAATATAATTAATTAATTAATTAATTAATTAATTAATTAATTAATTAAAGAAGAACAAAGTCCAGCATCTTTTCTCACGGATACATCTCCTGCGAGCATACTTGCGATTGACTCGATAGAATAACCGGGCAAACTTGTAAATATTGGCCGAGACCAAGAACAAAAAAAGTCGAAAGCCATAAAAATAAATAGATGAGAGAAAGAGAGAGCAAGTACTCGCATTGTTGGAAGTATGGATTGACTCGATAGAATAACCGGGCAAACTTGTAAATATTGGCAGGGACCAAGAACAAAAGAAAAGTCAAAAGCCATAAGAATAAATAGATGAGAGAGAGAGATAGCAAGTACTCGCATTGATGGAAGTGAGGGGTCCGCTCATATCAAGCACTGGATGTCCATCTCAACGAAGGAGCAGGGGTTTGGGTAGACCCCAAATTTCTCCAGCACCTGAGCACAATAATACCACGTTGCTGACAAGTAAATCTCCAAGGATATCCAGCGTTTTTCTACTATACAAAGGAATATGAAAAATATGAAGACCCCCTTCTTTTTATGTTTTTTCTTCTTATGGGAAGTCAAACTACCTCAGGATGAACGATGCCGAATGTGCCGACCGCTCGCCCGTTGACTATGATATCGCACTGCCGCCCCTCTAGGAACTCCGGTTTCTTCAAAACAAGGGGGAAGAAGCAGCCAGCAGGGTCTTGTTATATCAGAACACACCATGACGAGAAATTAAAACAACTGGAGATGAACGGAGAGAGAGAGAGAGAGAGAGAGAGAGATGCCTTACATGCGACGGCTGTAGGTAATAGTGGTCGTCCTTCTTCTTCTCCCCCGTGAGGTCAACTGGTATGCCGATTATCTTCATGATTCTCTCAACCAGGCCATGGATATCCTATGGAGAGAGACAGAATTAGTCATCGGTGCAAGCAGCTTCAAAGAATTATATTTTTCGAATAATATTTATCAAATAATATAAAATATTCTATCATCGTGTCATCACACACTATCCTATGGTTTTAACAACTAGTCGCTCCGGAATGCAAATCTAATTAGCCGCATGATGAAAACATAACCAAATTTAGAAATAAATATATCATCGTTGCGTTGTTGCAAGTCACTGCCGATAACTCTACCTCGTATCCAGAGTTGTTACTACAGTACAATGCAGCCAGCCTCCGATTATTCGATGCACCAACATCTTGCTCCTCATCAAGAAATACTACATCCCCCACTTCAAATATCTGTCAAAAATTACCCAAAAACAAGGGATTAAAACAAACAGCAGGCGATATCTATATATATATATATATATATATATATATATTGAAGTGAATTCCTCCTGTTTATAAGAACTTTCACTAGATAACACTGACAAGATGATTAATGATGTGGAAAGGCAGCGGAGAAAACTATACAATAGATACCAAATTCAAAACTTACGCGTCTACTCAGTGGGAAAAAATAACATTAAATATGTCTATATTTGCAGACTTACCACCAGGAGAAACATTACAAATTTACAGTTTCACAACATCCGTACAAAAGTATGATGCCTCAAGAAAGAGTTCTTTTCTAAACCAATCCCCAGATAGCCTGCTTTTCTATTTTCTGACAGTATTAATGAGATCAAATGCCAGAAATGCCAGATATGTAAGGGATTTCTGATAAATTTTAGGATCCTAAAAAATAGGAAACCAAAAATTAACTCAAATTATCTAGAATTGAGACAATGAAAGTACTAGTTTTGGCATATAGTTATGAATGGCAGCCAAATCTGTAGCCATGACAATGAAGAACCAAGCTGACATGAAACTATTGTGTATCGAAACGGCATATCCCAAATCGCAGCATTCTGATTCGCTGTGTACTATATGACGAGAAAAAAACTTTGGATTAATATCTCAAACATTATGAACCAGTTGAGCTTTTGGATTAACATATAAAAATAGATGACATGCTGTTCAGACATGAAATCAAGGGAATCACAGATGCATAATTTGCGCCTCATCGAATGAAGGGATAAAGATATCAAGGCATATACCTTAATTGGCCTTGGATGGTCCATGTTGTGTTTCACACTTTTGAGTAAGCCTGGCATGAGAGTCGTCCGAACAGCCTGAAAATTCCTTGCATTAAAATTAGTTAAATATTACTAAATCTTCAGATTCTAGCACACCAGGCTCTCCCTGGTATAAACTATTACTCTGTTCCTAGGAACACACTGGTATAGGCCACGTCCTCAAAATGCAGCAGTTTGTGAGATAGAAAAACAACCAAACACAAGAGCACAAAAAAATGCAGTATTTTGGAAATTGTCTGTAATATCGATCACCAATGCAACAGTTTGAGAAGAATTCAAAAACATGCAACAAAAAACATACTCATTGTCTTCTATCCTACAAACTGAAGCTTGTAGGACCGCTTATTAGTCTAGAATGCAACGTGATAACAAATACCAAAGCATAATATTCTATTTAGTTAGAAATAAGAAAAAAACAAAGCAGTAGATACAATTATAACTCAGCATTAAAACATAACACTACAAAAATCTCATAGATGAGCAAGCAAAACAAAAAACTTTCTCGAAAAGATAACAATTAAAACAGATAAATGGCAAAAAAAAAGAAAAAAATTTGATTGACTGACAAATACCGCACCCTATACTGAAACAGACCGGTCCACAAACAGATAAAATGTTAACAGAATGTTGATTAATGCCCCCCTGAGTATATTCTTTGATTGGGGGACGTCCCTTTGAACAATTTGCACAACCAAAATAGACAAGCATGGAAATTCAAAATCCAAATGCATAGTTCTTAACTTATGTTTGAGTGGCCAGTTCAAGATAACTAGCCAAATCAGTACGTCAAGCGGCACAAATCAATAAGATTAAAAATATACAATACATTAATTTTGAAAGACGTTAAAAAACATGCGCAAATGATATGAAGCAAAAAACTAAAAGAACGATTTTATCTAACAATGATCATTTTAAAACGTTGCCCTCTATGTTTTACTCCTAGGTAACTGAGTGGAAATAGTAAGCTCTCTTTTCCTCTCCCTGCTTTTCTCTTTCATTGTCCTTGTGCATACACTCTCCTCCCCTTTTCTTCTGCCGGGGCCAATCACAGTTTTTAGTCTTCTGTTCTTCCTTCTGTTTTGAAATGTATTTTCGCGCTAGTCATCCACAGCGAGAGGAACATCCATAAGAGGTCTAATCTGACCTATGGAAGTTCAACAAAGATTGACTAATTTATTGCTGATCATCACTATGGTAATGGATAAACACAGGCTTCAACAGGTAAACCCAGGATCAGTAGTGCCCCGAGAGTCCCCAAGCATACTTGTAAAACTACTAGTGACATACATTAAGAAGACTTAAGGTAAAAGAGTAAGAGAGGTTTTTGTAAACGAGCAAGTAACACTTCCGTCATTTTTGGGTAGTTGGGGCTAATGATATTGGCCCATACCGTCTTGATCAAGTACATATAGAAGCTATCCACAGGGCTAGGTTTTCTAGAGAACACAGAGCTCATACATGTACATCCTGTCCACTATTTTTCTCATTGCATGAATACACAGCTCTATCCACAGTCAAAAAATTCATAGATGTTTCTATAATAGTCATTCAACCAACTTTAAAACAAAAAGGGTCCTCACAAGATGTAACCCGAAATGATTATCAACAACCCTCGGTCTGCCATTTTTAAGAATCACGCAGGGTTATACTTCACTGGATATTGCAACCCTATAACCATAGTTAACTCTTAGCATAAACCATGCGGTTTAAATGCGTATGTTTCGAAGTTCAAATTCGACTAGTATAACTTTTTGTCAAACAGAACAACCTTTGCACAAAAAATACCATTTACTGAGAAATTGGCTTAATGAGGTTCCACGACTATTTGCAGCACTCTATTAGAGACCTAATTCCCAAACTTGACGTGCATCACTGTCAAAGCTGGGAAGAGGCATGCAGATCTAAGTTTAAGTATATGTTATCAATGTTCGTAGCAAAAAGAAAGATTAAACAGACCTCGAATTCAGATGAACGGGGATTCTCAATGATAACAGAGGTCTTTCCATCATCCTTCCGATTTAACATTGAAAAATTTTCCTCACAAGAGCACAATACCCACGTTAACACCTCCTTGTAACCCGCCATGGCAACCTGCAAAAATTAGATCTTGACAATGGGTGAACCTCCTCCAGTAAAATGTAGGTAAAATAAATAGAATTTGGGATTCCCGTCGTTAACCTGCACAAGGAATGTTAGATAAACTAAAAACGAAAAGGCAACCTATTTAGCCAATAATTTTCTGATAGGAGATGTTCTCTTAGCTACACAATGAGAAACCGGAACCAGAGTGATACTTGGACAACAATGAAAGTACCTGCAATCTAATAAGATCAGAAAAAAGGTTCAAGGGTTGCCTTTTCCCCTCTGTTCTGGTCGCAGGAATTGTTTCTGGGATTTTGTTAAATCCATACGCAATAGAGAGATCCTTGAAAATTATAAAGAAAAATTCTTTAATATAAGGATAAGACAGCATAGAAAAAAAAAGGGAATTAACACAACATGATCAATACCTCCATCACATCACAAGCATGAAGAATGTCACTTCGAGTTGGAGGGACAGAAACAGTAATACTATTTTCATCACCCGAATTTGACTGTTTCACATTCAATTGCATTTTCTTCAGAAAAGAAATAACCTGAAGAAACACAATATATATATATATTAGCAGTCAACAACTAATCAAGTATAAGTGGACAAACGCACAGCAACTTATATTGGCTGGATCAATTGAAACCAAGTTGCATCAGTCTTATTGATCCAATGCAACTCAGCTCAACCGTATGGACCATCCAAGCGACAACAAACGTGAACCAACTTTAAATGTATAGAGTTGAGAGATGTCCATCTACACTATCTCAATGAGTCAAAAGTAGATTCAACTTCTTCTATATCTTTGGACACGAAATATCTAGAAGCATCCAAGATACCGTACATTTGAAAGCAAATAATGCAAATTTGCATGACTCCAATAAAGTTACACGTCATTAAGTCAAGTCAGAATTTCCCATCCTTTTAAATGAGTTATACCATAGCACATCATTCAAAACCAATGTTTTCACTCAGAAGTTAGAACTCGAGGACAGGAATGGTTGAGTACAGATTCAATCATCTGTCAAACTGTAATTATAACGTAACCAAAATTTAGGATTAGCTTCTTGCAATTATAAATATTTGTTTAAAATATAGATTCAGTTAAAATCAGGCCATCAGAAAAAGCCACGATGAAAGTCTTGTCATTTATGCATCTTATCGTCAGAAAATTTCTAAAATTTTAAAGAGAAAACCATACTTCATTTGCCTCCATCTTGATGCCAACTTGACTGGTAATGTATGACAGTGGTACTTCCAATGTGTAGTCCGAGAGATCGGGATAAATTTGCGATGAACCATTGGCATACACCACTTTAACCGGTTCAACTTCGAATTTTCTTTCACAGTACTCAGAAAACATAGTCACCTATATGGAATATAAAAGGAGTCAACTATACAAAGTTTGTGCAAAGATAATGACATTATTTGGTATCATGTGGTGATTAAGCCATACAACCTACCATTGTATTCAGAACAATCTTTGCCTTTGTTATATCAGTGGCAGTGCACTCAATGAAGACATTCTTCGTCTTGAGAGTGATTGCAGAATGTGCACCATTAATGATTGGAGGGAGTGAAAGAACAGTTCTGCAGGTAAAACACAGTCACCATAACATATATGAACACCAGCCTGAAACACCCCACTCCCATTTTCAATTGAGTTGTCAGTAAATCAATTAAAACATTTTCCCAGAGATGGCAACTCGTAAAAATCCAAACAACTTAAAGCAGCAAAAGGGTGTCAAAATATAAATCAAATTGAGAAATTATTTTTCTTCACTAAAAAAAAGCATAAAATTGTGTTGAAATTATTTGCAAAGAGAAGCAGTGAAATTCTAATAAATAAAGGCATCAATCATTCTAACAAGCAAACAGGAGACCCGTCAAACCAGAAATTTCATAAAACCAAAAATCTTAATCCGTTGATCTTACTAGTAGCAGTTGATGATTCCTCTAAATATGGAAAAGAATGAAAGAATATTACTATTTTGCGCATTTATTAGAAAACATATTACGGTTAATGCCCTCCATATTTAAATTTATTATGCATATTAATAATTACACGATAACAAATTGGATGTGCAGAACAGTACCTTCAAAATAGAGGAAGATAAGCATGAGACCGTTGCGAAAATATTATATCTTAAAAGAAACTCCAAAACCATAAAATGAAACATCTTGCATTAAAATAGTCCTGGAAAGAATCACATGAAACGGACATGTTACCTGTTTATATCATAAATGACAGGGTAAACTGGCGAATCTTCAATTATATTCAAGAACTTCTTCAGTTTCTTATCTGACTACAAGGAACAAATTAAAAATGCAAAAAATTATCTTATGAGCAAAGACAAATTTCGCCAGAGAGTGACAAAGGAGGATAATAAACGAACTATTTATATAAACCAAGGATTCAAAAGCAGAAATATACACAACCACTTTACTGGACTTACTTTGTAGTGTTGCATCAGTTCGTCAGCTCTGAAGCTTTTTGACTGAAAAGGGAATAGAAAAATAGTTTGTGAAGACTGAAAACTGCCTAGTGTGGACATTGATACTTCATATTAAATTCACACAAGGTTAATATTTCTTCATGAAAGAACTTTGTATAAAGGACTATTTAGTGTATCTGCAACCTTGGTCTTATTCTAGAGCATGTTCACAACATAAATTCTTTTTTCTTGGATTTAGAATCATTGCTCAGATAAAAAAGGAAAAGATTGTTTGAATATCATTGAGTTCACCGCTCTAACAGAGGCAAAGGGTATCGTTTTTTTCCCTCTTCTGAATTCATACAGATCTCTTTTTCAAAAAAACATCGAAACTCGAAATCCAACTTCCTAAACTCTAGAGAACGAATGAAAACGCTGACTATTTACCTCTTTTAAGGGCACAAAATTGATTTGTGATGGTTGTAGTGCCTGCAAAATAATAATTAAGAATGTCACATCATAAATCCGGTTTACTGCTGAAATACTCACAAAAATCAGCTGCATTTTAAAATAATGTAGAGAGGGTGGCAACTGCGATGTTTTGATAATCAAAGGGCAAAAACAACAGCAAAATAACAAATTCCTCCTCTTGTTGACAGGAAACTAATCGAAACTACAAACAATAGCAGAAGAAAGAACATAAAGTTCAAAATAGTAAATAAATTGTCAATTGAGCCATTACATATAATTTCAGCACAAAGTAGAAGTTTAGCAAATTCTAGTCTAAAAACTTGGAAAAGTGATTAGATAATTGTATGGTTGTATCGCAAGCTATAGGGCCTGGCCAAAAGTAGGTCAATTTAACCTATACAATTCCCAGCTTCACTTATACAAATTTCTCCATAATTCACACAGAACTAGTCCAGGAAACAATCATATATCATATTTTAAAAACACTAAAAGGAGCTGAGGGATTTTCAAGAAAAAGGAACGGAAAAAGGAGTCTATTTCCCTGCTCCTAAGCCCATTTCCTACTTTATTGAAATATTTGGAGGTATTTGGCCATTTAGTCAGCAATAGTGACCATTGTACCATCTAAATTGATCACCTTATCCTGTCTAGGGCCAAGAAAATATTAAGAAGACAAGGTAAAGATACCTGTCATACGGTCAGTTGCTTCAAAGACAATAGAACCAAGAAAATATTAAGAAGACAAGGTAAAGAAACCTGTCATACGGTCAGTTGGTTCTAAGACAATAGGCCAAGAGTTAGCAATTGAATTAGCAGTACTGAGGCAACCTTTTCAGTACATTTTTAAGGTGGTCCTACTAAATTGTGAAAGAATTCTTAGAAATGCAGCAATGTCTAATGATGAGATGTCATAAAATTGCTAATTAGGTTCTACTCTTAGAAAAACGAACAAGCAGAAATAATAGTTAGATGACTAGCTGTGGTTATGTTCTCTAAAGCTACTTCTCTCCTTCTGAACCTCACAAACTTCTTGTCAGGATTCTTCTTGCCATAGTGAATGCATAACCTGACATCCTTCTTCTTTTCCTTACATTGATTATTTCCCATATTTCTCCATTTTTAATTTTCTTCATAAATGTTGAACAACCATTTTCTCCAATACTTATACGAGTTTGGTGTTCGTTCATGACTTTCCTCGGTACTCACTCCAGATCTTGAAATACACCAGCTATAAAGTTGGTAGAGGATCAGAATTGAGAATTCGACTCCTAAACGCTCATATTTTGGGTTCATCTGTGTGAAGAATGCAAAAATCCTCTTCTGTCAATCATTTTTTGTAACACTTCTCCAATTCTTAAATGGATTCCAATCCTCAATGGAAGATTCTCCTACTTGTTATGCAGAGCACCAAGGTACCCATGACGAACATATTTCCTTGTCACATAGAGTGTATTTCAGTCGTGAGTTAATATATACAACAAATATCTTGCTTCTGCCGAAACATTTTCGCTATAATAATTCACACCCTATATGTTGTAATCTTCCACAGAATTATGGGTTAAATCAAAACGCTAACTGAGTTATCAACCATAAAATCACAACACTGTTCTCAAGAAGCCAATCTTCATAATTTCAAGACTTCTAGCTAAAGAGTTGGAGCCTCCCGTTGATATAGTCTAATCTAACACAACCAGAGATAGAATGACAAGTAGCCACAGAACATACCATATGATTGACCTTATTTAGCTTTGTTTGAATCATTTGGAGTGATCCATTTTCACTTCTAGGAACAGCAACGAGATCACGAAAGCTCATGAATGATGTATTGCAAGCCGTAATTGACTTGCTACTATTTGAAGATATCATCACAACACTTGATGTAACACTCGGCCCTTAAACAAACGACAAAATGGAGGGAAGAAGAGGGAGATAGAGCACTAGATAGTGCATTGAAACAAAAAACATCTCTACTTATGGGGTATACAGAAGACTAACCTAGTCCTCTTCCAAATTTCCTGATGGGTCACTGCCATGTGGACAGCATGTGACCCACAAGGCTTGGAAAGGAGGTCAACCAGTTCCCTTGGATGCCAATCCCATCAATTACAGTTAAAAAGGAAATAGACGAGTGCTTAAAGGATCTCATGATCATGATACAGGAATAAGTCTCTAACACCAAAACTTTCTCCCTGCTAGGTTGCTGCAGCAAGTTATCTTAGATTTCTCAATGAGAACATTTGTAGCGTCTGTAGCTATAACACTTTGCTGATGTATCATCTGATATGCTTATCGCATGATACAACATTTACGAGTTAATTAAATTAAAAGAGGGTATAAAATGAATTTATAATGAAGAACTGGGGAGCTACAGAGCAAATTCTTGAGGCAATGATTTTTGAGACACAAGTTATGGCACACTAAAGTAGTCACAATATGGACACATTGGTAAGGAGTTGAGTAGATTTAGAATTCAATTCAATTCCTCTCAATAAACCTTTAGCAGGCCATTTTGACCGCACGATCACCCAAGATGAAAAATTATGAGTGCATATCTAGAGTCCCTTGTGCGTCTGTTGTTGATAGTCTAAAACTATGGTAAGGTTTGCTGTGACCCAACTCAGCGCATCCAGTCAAAGTAATATAAAGGCTTATTGCTAATCTAAACAAGTAACGTGGGGAAGCTATGAAATGGATATTTTGTTTCACAGGTTTGTGGATATAGCTCACACCAAAATATCCAGCTTCACCATCTCAATTTTATCCCATTCTTTTTATTATTTTATCAGAGCATTTAACCTATTTGTACCACTTCAGATTTATCACAAATATAAGAATTCCCGTGTCATTTTCCAGAAGGTGCTCGCTCCCTGAGTGCCGCTCATACATGTTCATTAATCATGATCTACAGAGATCTTAATTTTTTGTCCAACTAGTTTGACCTCCGGATGCAACTGTATATTTCGGCATAACTGTAAAAAAACATTTGGTAATGGAGGATTAGGCATAAAATTCCGAAGCCCAAACATAAAATTAGACTTTACTGAGACAATATGAAAGCTTAACACAGCCCAGAACATGAACGAAATCTAGATTCTACTTCGGCTAAACTTAATCAACCATGGTTAGAAAGATACTGCTTTCAAACAACCTGAGAAGCTAATTGGCTAAGGTAAGTATAATTTGGAATCGAGGATTGCATGAATAAATAATGATTTTAAGGTTTTATATTTAGCTCTTAAAAGGTAACTCCTTCTGTCATTTTGCTTGTTTAAGGCGATCTACTTACATTCTTCTCATGATGGCTCGTTAAAACAACTTGGGTGAAAATAAAATGATAATGGCAAAACCGAGTCTGTTACGAGAGACAAGGAACAACCTCGTATGTGAATGGTCCCTCTATTGTGTCCAGATCATGAGTCCCAATGGCAACGAGCGTTCTCTTCCTAAAAAATGAGTTTAAAAAATGAGAAATTAAGATCTTACCCGAAAAAAGTACCTATGCATGATGTAAACATAATTAGTGATGAAATATATCTCAAGGATTAAAAAAATAAAATAAAATAAATACTCAACCGGCAGATATTCTCATGAAGCTTGTCCTGAAGATCGATGAAGCTGTTATATCTTGCTAGATCAAACTTCACTCCTCTCAACACCGCACAGACAACATATGGTCGAATCAATTCAGTCTGTAATATGAAGATATCTCCTTTTAAACAGCGAAGCCCGTAACAGTGAAATATAAGAACAAATAGGGATCAATGACACCATAACTACCTCTGGTTTAACGTGCATAGTAACTATAGATTTAGATGAGATATCAGAAAGCTTATATTTAGGCGTCTCTTCTGCTCCTGTAAAAATGCGGAGAGATCGTGCAATTCCTTCAAGGCAAAGCAAATCAGACCTGAATACGAATATCCGTGTCACTAAAATAATATAAAAGGAAAAACTGTGAAGCTAAAAAAATTTAACGAGAAGAAATGGCTACTTTGAAACAGACTCCCTCAATAGAAAGAAGGGAATCTCAAAAGCCAGGGAGCCAAGCAAACAAGACATTTATTCAACTTTTCATCACGATGCCACCCACCGCATTTTTCCCATTCCCTCATGTCAGACACAGGAGCGGAGGAAGTAGACTATTTATTCAAATAATTTGCACTACATCATTCTGATTTTATTTCTCCCAACCATCATACAAGACAATTGATGCATTAGCAAGTCATATGCAGACTAATGTCTAAAGCACCCTGCCGTTTTACTTTTTGTTTGAAACTTATTCATCGGTAAACAAGGACTAAAATCACATTCAAAGGGGCAGCCATACTGCTATTCTCTCAACTGCCCAGTTGTAATTAAAAATAACGAAAGTATGTAGCCACATGGCGTAACTTATTTGGCCTTTTCATTTTGTTTTTCCTTCTTCATCTTTGATATATCATCCCGTTGTTTATTTGATAATAATCGTGGTGAGAGAAGATAGTTTATCAGTGATTGTTTGGAGTTCAGACCATGAAGCGAAATATTAGGTCATCGGGAACCACGTTGACAGTTAAATGCACAAATAATTGGAAAAACTGGCACCCTGGACCAAATCATAACCCGAGAGAGATGGAATAACACTCAATAATGGTAACGGTGCTGAAGCTAAGAGGGTAATAGAATGCTACTGTGGCAGAAACATTTACAGACCGGTTCGCTGGCACTTCAATTTTGTAGATGACCTCTTCGTCATCACCATCAGGTTCTGCATCCTCTTCCAGGTGTTTCTCTTTCCTAATTATTGCTTTCTCTGTAGTCTGTCCATGCACGTTGAGAAAAAAATCATTGTAGAACAAAGAATAGACACAGGTTGAAATATAAAATGGAATACAATACATGATGGAAAAGTTCAACTAGCTCACCACGTCGTCAAGCTCAATACCATACTCAAAACATAGTTCATCAAACTCTTCTTGAGCTGCAATGAAGATCAAAAGCGGATAAATTCTCTGGGGGGAAGAGAAAAGGGAAAAAGAACCTCAAAGATAGAACAATCAAACAGGTACTGCATTGCTTTTTCGGTTTTACAGAAATTTACTGTAAGACTTTCCCAAAGCTTGGAAGAGAAGGTCTCTTCCAACGCCTACAGTCGGCATTGCAAAAGAGACCAACAAATCCGGTTACAATGACCTCGGTTAACAACTGCAAATTGGTTCAAAAGAAACTGAGGTGAGCACGATGTTAGCCAAGACCGCTAAATGCTTTACTTTCCCCGAACGACAGCATAAAAAAAAAAATTACATATATGGAGAATCAAGCGGATAATGAATTACTCGAATGTAAGCAGATAAGCATAACAATGAAATGCGTTAGCAATTGAAAGACGTTGAGAGGTGTAATCACCAGATTAAGAAGAACCAGGAGGACCGTCGGCTGTGGTCGACTGACGTTGCAGAGTTCGTCGGGCCCCCGCCCGATAGGAAGAGGCCTGAAAACTACCAAGAAAAAAGGGAAAGAGTGAGCCACTCCACGACAGCTTGATCACGGCGGTGACCCTGCGCCGGACCAGAAACGTTCGACAGAAGGAGAGAGGCGCCGTACCGGCGGTCGGCGCCGTCGAAAGCCGCCGGATTGAACGCCGCTCCTCCGATGCAGAGTGGCCGCGAGAGGAGAAGCCTTCCGGCCGGCGTCGGTCCCCAGCCTGCCTGAGAGAAAAGAGTGGCGAGAATAACCGGATGCGATAGGTGGGGGAAGCGGAATTCCGAAAAGCCCTAATGGACCGACTGGACCTCGAGACGGCCAAGATGGGCCGGCCTTTTCTGAAAACGGAACGGACATGGTCCCTCCCATCGGCCCATCACAGGCATCCTAATAAGGCAACCATATCGTATGGAGCAACTAGAAGCCCAATTAATTGACTAAATAATTAATCCACGAGGAGGCCAACAGATGTTTAATTAATGGAATTATTCTCCTTACGCGTTATATTAAAATATTATCTGATTTTGTAAATAACTTTTAAATTTTGTAAAAATATTTAAAGTGACACGAGGTAGGTAAGTGAGTTATTTAAAAAAATTATGCACCTCTCTTGGGTTTTTTTAATATTTTTCCTCATCTATGCTGGGTGGATCGAGACACGAGTTGACCAGGTTGGGTCAACACACTAGAAAGCAACCGAAAAAGGCACACACCCTTATTTAGTACATTTGACTTTTTCTAGCTTGAATTCACGTGGCTCGAGTTATTACTCTGATTTTCCACCATTTTTCTCTCATATGAAACATTTAAATTCACATATCAACAAAACTATTTAAACAAAAAAAATCACTACGTTGACTTTTTGTCATATTGGAAACACTCTCCTAAGTGACGTCATATATATAAATATAAAAATGTAATACCCATAAATGATTATGAGAGTTAATGAATGTTCTTCCTTTTTTTTTTGGTGAATATTTGGATGATTGAGGAAGCTTTTAAGTAGCTATATTTGCATTAGAGATAGAACGTATGTTTCCACTGCTATTAGATGAAATTGACAAAACATTGATGTGTTCTTGTGAAAGTTCTTGACATGGAATATCTATAAAGCCCAAAGATTCAACCATTATAACTAAAATGGCTGAGATTTAATAAATTAAATATTTTATTGGGTTGACTCATGCGTTGCCTTGCGACATAGTCAATATAATGTATTATCAAGTTGTGGACCAAGTTGTTGAATAGATGTGTTAACAAGACATTTCTCATATTATTTTCATCGTCTAATATAATTAATAAGAGATGATTTGCCATTGTCAATATGTTATTATTTTTTCAATATATCAAATATAATACCAAAAATATTTATTTCTCTCTCCTAGGATTGATTTGTTGATTATTGACTTTTTCAATTTGACTTTTCACTCACTTGGAGCTCCTATGACTCTACGATATTATGCTCATAAGGGGCAAATTGTTTATTAATTCTTATTTACTATAAAAAAAACCAATAATTTAATAAGATATATTTTTGTAATGAAATCCTGGGCAGATGAACTTAATTGGATGTCAAATCCTAGGCAAATGACAAGGACTTTTGCACAGTTGACTTCACAATTTATTATTATTATTTGCAAAGTATTATGATTGAGAATTAAAATATCAATATAAAGCACCATTATTTCCATTCTATCCCGTTGACTTCCAACCCGAAGTCCCTAGAGTGCGCATATGAGATGGGTTAGATGATTGCAGAAATTGAAAGGGCCATATAAAAACTCTATTAAAAAAGGGTTATATACAATTTCACCTGGAAATCATATCACGCGCAATAGAATCTGACGTTCAAGAGAACGGGTCCACTGCGGGAGTGACCAGGACGTGGATGCGATTTCAAGCGGCACGCGTCACATTGCCGGAACACGATGAGATGATATGCAACGGAAAAATGGCGGCACAATTTGCAAATAGAACCCCATATAAAAAGATAGTTACTATTTGAACCCTTGTCGGCCCTCCGTCTTCGAAACGACCCATGTCCACCGTCCTCCTCCTCCCGCCGGCGGTCGCCGTTGAAGAAATCCCGGCGATGCCACTCCGCGTGGGGTTTTTGAGAGCTCGAAATCGGGGTTTCAAAGAGAAGTAGAGAGAGAGAGAGAGAGAGGGGAAGGCAGCCAGTCACTCCTTACAAATCATGCTCCGCTCCTTCTTGGGGTCGCCAGAGCTGGAGGATTGACTCCTATGGGAGGCCGCAGTTGACCGGGAAGTTTTGAAGAAGAAGAAGAAGAAGCAATCGGAATCAATCTTCGGGTTGTCTTCCGAATTTACGGGCTCACTGGAAGTTGGAGCTGTGACTGTAGATGACGAGATCGGGCCACCCGCCGGCGGCGTCCCAGCCGTCGTCGGCGTTGTCCTGAGAACTCACAAAAGTCTCCGCCGGCGGTGGGGGCGGTGGCGGCGGCAGCGGCGGCACCCAGCCTCCGTCGGAAGCCTCGCCGGAGGAGCCGGCAGTTGCCAGGGGGTTGAGGGGCCGTTTGGAGGAGGAGGAGGGAGAGGGGGCGACGCGCTTAGTGTTCCGGCGAGAGCCGCCGCCGACGGGGATGTTGCGGAGGGAGCCGCCCTTGGTCCAGTAGCGGCGGCAGCTCCGGCAGAAGTGGCGGGGCTGGGCGAGGTTGTAGTTGTTGTAGTAGCAGAACTTGGTGTCCGTCGACTGGCACCGCGGGCACCGTAGGTTCCTCTCCTCGGACCGGAACAGCAGCGGCGGCGCCGCTGCAGCAAGCGGCGGAGGAGGATCCCACATCGTGTGAACGGAGAAGGATAAGCTTCGGGAGAGAGTCAGAAAAACCCTCTGTTCTCCTCTCCCTCTGGCTACTACTGACTGGGGCCTCCTGACTTTGGGCCTTCTTCGGACGAGGATTTATGGGAGAAAAAGTGGATACTTAACACTGGTACTGAAGAAAAGTACAGGTGCGCCTCCCTCAACGCACCGACTCTTCTGCGGGGCCCATCCTCCGATGAAATGACACGGGCCAAGTTGGGTAGTGGCCCAGTATTACCCAAGCCACCACCTCTTTCATCTCTCTCTGTCTCTCTGTCTCTCGCTCTTTCTCTCACTAGATATAGACATAAAAAATAAAATAAAAAAAACGATGCTTTATACACTGTAAAGGAGATCCCGTGATCTAGGGATTGACCTCGGGGCTCATTTGGATAACATGACAAAGAACCGGTTCATAAAAGTTGGCCGTTCATTGTCCGAAGTCAACACCGAGGGGTATCCGACTTCAGACACGAGGGAGATGTTCACTGGAGAGCCGGTGTTGCTGATTCAGTCATCTCAGGGGGCGGGATGAGGGTCTGATTAAGGCATCGGCAAACCAAGCTAAATGATCCGAAAACTCTTTACCATAATAATAATAATAATAATAATAATAATAACTTGGGGGGGGGGGGGGTTTAATTAATGGGCCAGGCAAGACCCAGACTTGGGTCCCCCCTTCCTGGTGGGCCCTCCCGCCACGTTGACAGAATTTTATTTTATTTTATTTTATTTTATTTTCTCCCCAAGAGCAGCAAAAAGTTAGAGAGGTAACGGGGGGTGAGGTGGAGAGGACGGTACCTGCGAGAGGGCGATGACCTCAGGCGCTTCTGTCAATGCTCTTCGCGAATGTCGCCGCTACCAGCAAAGGGAAGGCGATGGTCGCATCGCAGTGTACCTGATTGGAAGGAGCAACACTCGGCGTGGTCAGACCCACGATCAACCGCAAGCAACAATGGAAGCGAATTTTTCCAAGTATCAGCTGAACGATCTCACACAAAAATCTACAAGTTTCTGCGCGATATGGTCACTTCAAACAAACTTTGAGAGAGAGAGAGAGAGAGAGAGAGAGAGAGAGAGAGAGAGAGAGAGAGGAAAGGAGGAGGAAGGATAGGGTAATTTTACATACCTTGACGGGTTTGGCGGAGCCTCTGATCTTCCCCCAGGAGACGGCCTCATCGGGGTGGGCCCCAGAATCGCTGCCGTCGAACTCCTCCGCCGTGTTGATGTACACGGCGTAGTCCGCGCCGTTCCGCATCATGTTCGCGTTGCAGACGTGGTGCTTCGCGAGGCCCCCCCCGAGGATGATCATCCCCGTCTTCCTGGGCCCCGCCCGCACTGCTTCCGAGTAAATTGCCCTTATATCTGACGAGCACACCGCAAAAAATGAAATAAAATGTCAACATAATATTAATAACAATATTATTATTATCCCAGGGCACCTTGGACGATGTCGATGACCAGTGTAGGGTTGCTTCGTGAGTGGGAGTAGAGCACGTCGCCCAGGGAGCCGTCGGTAAGCGCGGGGCAGAATACAGGGATATTGTTCTGTGGAGGGTTTGGGATATGAGAGAGTGATTTTTTTTAATATTATTTTTCTAACTACACGTGAAATAAATATAGATTGACTGCAATGCACCTTGGAGGCCCAGTACAGGTAGGAACTTGGGTCGTTGACCTCCTTTCCCAGGCGGGCGACGACCTTGGACGGCGACCAGAGTACGTCCTGCAGAATGGGAGCGAGCTCCATCCGTAAGTGGCTGCAGGTGATCTAATGAAGATGACGAAGAGAAATGCGGTGGCCGTTGACCTTGCAGTTCCGAATGAGGATCAACGGCTGTGATCTACGTCAACCAGAAGGCTTACCTCGGTCCTCTGCTCTTCCAGCATTTGGTCAAGAATGGGAACAATCCAGTCCTGGAATCTCTGGTAGCTGTTGTCGGTCACGAGCAAGTTCCCGATTCGCTTGAATCCTCTAGAGCGCAGAGAGGCCCCGGGGAGGGAAAAATCGCCCTTGTATGTGGGCGCAAGGCATTTAATGAGATCTTCGGCTATGCCCCCAGCGGTCGTCACCAATACGTCCACCTGCAGATCGAAGAAAAACGAGAATGGGGAAAAATAATAATAAAGAACTGGGAAGAGAGACTTAGACCAGAATTCTTTTGATATTATAGAATAACATATGAAAATAACATAGCTGGAATATCTGAACCTCGTGAGAGAAGTGTGAGATGAAGGATGATGCAACAATAAAGGATATATATGTGAGGCAAACTCACGCTCCACCAGTTGTTCGAAAGGGAGTGTGAGCGTGGGAAGTGGTGAGGATCATGGTGAATCAGTGTGCGTTAGATGATGGGGAAGAGAACCAAAGGCCGTGTATATTCATTGCGAACAATCCACAAGGCGGGCTGACTTTACAGGTCAGCAGAGCCAAGATATATCAGGTCAACTCTACAGTGTAATCATTGACAACTTTACCGAGGAAGAATTACTGCTGTATTGAGTGAGAGGGGGCCACCAATAATTTGAATAAGCCCTCTCCTTCTGATAAAAAAGCTGAAGGGATAAGAAAAAGAATAAAAAATGCAACAACAGATGCATGCATACGAGAGGAAATATTCTAGATAAAAAGCTGAACGGATAAGGGAAATAAGAAGAAAAAAGAGTGCACTAGCGATGCAGAAAATAATGGAAGCAATGAGAGATGGCCTAAAAGACGATGTAGAAAACAAGATAACATGAGGAAGAGGGATTGTGACGTAGAAAAAATCAGATAATAATGGAAAAAGCAAAATATCACTCTGAATTTGAGATGCAGAACAAGGAATGTAGGAGAGATATTCAAGCAGCCATAGAAATTGTTTCATTTTTGGTTCAATATGTATACCAAAGCCTCTCACAGGTCTCCAGTCTCAGAGCAATTTTTTTTTATCTTTAATCAGGTATAAAGCGCAAGCACCCAGAGACTATCTTCCAACAAGTGGAGGATATGGGCGTAGTACATACATGTAATATTTCTCACCATTCTGTGCTCCATAAGAAAACGAACTGTGTCTCGGACACCAGACGATATGAGATTCGAGGTGACACCCAGGAATATCTTGCATCTGACGCTTTCTCTGAAAGCTGGGTCGCGCTCCTCCTCTGGGCAGTCCTCTGCTGGTTCCTCGTAGGAGAGTCTCCAGGCGAGCTGATTAGTCAACGTGTGAGATCTGGAGGGCAGAGACTCTGCTTGTAGACAAATCAACCGATCTTACCATCTGATTAACGACTTCTATAGCGTCTCCGAGGTTGGAGGCCTGGAACCCAGTGGTACTGAAGGACTTCAGCAACGCCATGAGATCCAGCCCGCGGTTGAAATCGTAGCCGGCTACCTTCACAAGGTGCACCTCCTCTAGATCTTCTGATCGCTTGGAGACGGACGAGCAGGGTGCCTCAAACGACATCCCGATCCCTTTCTGGTCAGCGTCCCCCATAATCCTAGAGCCCAGAAGAATTCGTCACAGACGCACGTATTCATCGCACAGATCACGAGAATGATGGTAATAGATACCTTGCATGCACATTCTACAGAATGATAAAGCTGATAAGCTGAGCTTCACAGAATGATTGATACCTTTGTAGTGCATTGGTGTAGGCACTTTTCTCAAGTCGCGTAGCAAATGTCGCGGCCACCAGCAAAGGGAAGGCGATTGTTGCATCACAGTGGACCTAATCGTTTCATAGCAAAGCTCAGAGTAGAGAGAGAGAGAGGCAGACAGACAAAAACAATGCCAAGCACATAAGACAGGTAAACCCAAATCTCCTGAATCGAACTACATCAAAGTAGAGAGTAGAAGCAGTTTCATAGCATCAAAGCTCATAGGAAGCCGACCCATAGCAAGTTTCATAGCAAGTCTTCCCAATGAAATAAGCACCATAATGGGAATACCACTTTGAATCGAACAAAAACACGACTTATTCAGCTAAAAATGGCAGCTCGATGGAAACAGGGAGTGCTACACCGACATCATGTTCCCAGAAAATACCTACTTTGATGGGTTTCGTGGAGCCTCTTATCTTCCCCCATGAGATGGCTTCATCAGGACGCGCTCCAGAATCGCTACCATCGAATTCTTGTCCCGTGTTTATGTAAACAGCGTAGTCTGCTCCATTACACATCCTGTTTGCCTGGCAAATATGGTGTTTCGGGAGTCCTCCACCAAGAAGTATCATTCCGGTCTTTCTAGGGCTTGCATCGATAGCTTCAGAATATATTGCCAAAACATCTGCAAGTCAAATCAGATTCGTAAAATGTCAATCCACCAACCACATGTCAACGCGTAATAGAGGGAGTCACTGATACCTTCGACAATGTCAACAATCAATCCGGGATTTCGGATTGAATGGAAACCCAGCATATCTCCCAGTGACCCGTCAGTCAGTGCTGGACAGAATACAGGAATATTGTTCTGTATAGGTTCCACGCATTAGAAACTAATACCTTTTAATTTAGAAAAAATATAGACGACATGCATAATGCGTAGAAAGATAAAAAGTAATAACAGGAAAAACAATGTCTAGGGCTTTTTTGACACTTGGGTTCTGCTACATACGCGGAGCAAAGTGCCGGATGAAATATTGACCGCAGGTGTCACAAGCTCATGCATATGATGCTTTCCCAAACAAATCGAGATATGGTCGGTTTAAATTTTATGACAAAATAATATAATACATATTATTTATAAACATTTAGGCTATTTTACTATACAGTCAAAATTCCGTAATAGTTTATACGAATTCACAAAATGACCCATATAATTAGCACGATGGTTTCACCAAATTGGCCAGAAAACATATATTGCATTGAATGACCAAGGGGAGAAACATAGACCACAGCACTTCTCTCACGAAGTTGACAAAAAAAAGAAGCAATATTTGGGTATGCCTCTGATCTATCTCAAGACGGAGTGTTCAACGATATATTAAACTCATAATGCGATGGGTGACTAACTAAGGCATGCCATAATTGGGTTCCAAGAAAAGTGCATTTTCAATAATTTACCTTGGACGCCCAGTATAAATAGGAACTTGGATCCTTTATCTCGTTTCCAAGGCGTGCGATCATCTTTGACGGTGTCCAAATTACATTCTGTAGCATGAAATTTTCATTGCATAACAACGTCAGAATAAATAAATTATTTTTCGCATGATTCAAACCTATTTCTATTTTGAACAACCGTGACTTCATGCCAAAGGGATGTGATTACGAGTTATATGACGGTTAAATGGAAAAGGGTTTGTTGTACCCATGTAACTAGATACGTAACAGCTACTAGATGAAGTGGTTAGAAGAAATATGGAAAACATGTGACTGTGAGTGAAATTTGAACATACATGAACTGTTTGGACAGACAGGGAACTGTTGGGGAAGATTAGTCATATGTATTAAAGACACATGAAGACAAGAAGCCCCAACGTCGCACAAGGGATCCCAGCAGACAAGAGTAAAACACATGGGCATGGAGAGGGAAAGCCGTCATCAATTTTTGAGTAAGGCATGTGAATGTGCAAACTTACATCCATTCATAGAAGCCATAACTGAAAAAGATTGAGCATGAGTCCAAGTCCGAAGAACAAAATATCCACGACCAAATGACATGTAGTAGACCAATGCGACAAGTCGTGGCTTAAAAAATGTAGCCGACAAGTCATATAGTACATATGGGACTAACTAATATTCTTTACATTTTCTTGATTAGATAAAAAGTCTAACACCAGATACAAAAATGAAAATGAATTGCAATATATTGATATTAAAGGCGGCAAACCACACAATCCATAAACATTTATTAAAATATTACCTTAGTTTTTTGCTCCATTAGCATTTGATCGAAAATGGGCATAATCCAATCTTCAAATTTGCAGTAATTGTTATTTGGTACCAACAAGTTCCCTATCCGGTTCAATCCTTTAGAGCGCAAATAGGCTCCAGAAAGGGTAAAATCACCCTTATATGTAGGTGCAAGACATTTTATAAGGTCCTCTTCGATACCACCTGCGGTTGTAACCAATGCATCTACCTACAAAAGACAGTAACGACAATGAAGAAGAAGAAGAAATGAAATAAATAAAGATTAACTCAGATGTTTTTGATATATCACCAATGCATTACTTAAGGTTATGGGTGAAATTTTCATTTCTTGAAAAGAACCATCAGTGACATAGGACGTTTAAAAAAATACCACAGCCACAATAGGTTGGTATTTTCTAAACCTAAAAAATTAATTGATTTCTATTTAAACATTAAACATGCTGACTTTGTTAGTCACAATGTTTATAATGAGGAGTAATATTTATCCAATTTCAATGAAGAAGATATATATTTAGAAATTTTATTTTTAACTGGGATACATTTCCCTTAAAATTACTTTTTCATTTTGTTGTCATTTATGCTGACAGGCTGCTGATTATATCACGCATACATGATTAACATATGTCCATAGAAACACATTACAGTGCATAGATGTTCCAAGTGCAATCATGCTTAACCTCCATTAGGTACACAAAAATAAACAAGGTTGTTCATCTGCATTTTAAATGCTTTCGAAATTGATATGTTAACAGAAAAAAGACTAAATTTTTTTTTCTCCGAACGAATGATTGGTCATGGTTAATTACGCTTAGAAGACAAAATTGCGTAAGGACGAATCGGGCTGATTCTTATCCCATTCGAAAAGGTACTGTGACCCTAAAATCAGTATCCTGAAATCGGTCTACATTGCGGATTTGGCTGATATGGTTGATAAATCTCGACTTAAGATTTGCTACACCAGTTCATGCTTGAATCCCTTTCTGAATCTCTTGACGCACTGACAGTATTCATCTTCACAGGAGGTGAGTTTGGGGAGGGGCGAGGTTAGGATAAATACATTTCAGTTGGGTCTGAGCCCAGGTTCATCTTCGCATCACCCAGTAAATTCATTGCGATCAGTCACAAGGGGGGTACAACTTAACTAATTCTAAGAGCTCAACTGGATCAAGCCATTCATCACCACGAAAGAAACTACAGTGCCTAAAAGCTTCGCAACAGCTTCTGTTTCATTATCAAGAATAATTAATTTTACTGCAGAACCAATAACGATTTTTGGATCTAATAAGTACAAATACAATTTTTCGATATAATAGGTCGATTGGAATAAGATTATCCACCATTCAGTCACTTCTCTTGTTCTAATATGAAGTTTTCTACAAGCAGTGTGCCCGGATTCAGTCACTTCTATTCCGTTTAAGGAATAACAATTACTGCAATATGCAGCTTTCGTGGATGAAATAAAAGGCTATCCTGGAAAATAATTAACATTGTGAAGGGATCACCACTACCACTCTGAATAAAATTCACAAGTTACTTGCCATCCAGCTTCCATGCTAATTTTGTTGTGGGTTATTTCCAAACTAAATCAATAACAATCGCACGCAGAATACTGATGCTAAGTTCTTCACAGTTATATGCGTAACAACTTATGTAGAAGACGAGACATCCACTTGACAACAGTTAATGACAAGTAGAAAATGAAAGCACCAGCAGGAAAAAATAGAAAAAAACGCCATGCTCGAGAGTAATTATGTCGGAAACTGGATAGCATATGTATAACAGAACAGGCGGCATTGTCATTTAATCTGCGCTCTCTCTCTGTATTTCTCATGACAATTATTGACACACTTTTTGTTCGACGTATGCCAAACTTTCCACCACCCTATGGTCCCAAGGTAGATACAATTATTTAATGAAATTCGAAAAACCGAAAAATAGAAGCTAAACACTCGGAGAAGATCTTTCATCAATGAAAGCACATGGGGTACCCAGGTGTCATTTTTTCTCACCATTCTATGCTCCACAAGAAATCGAATTGTCTCCCGAATGCCTGATGAGATGAGATTTGACGTGAAACCCAAAAATATTTTGCATCTGATGGTTTCTCTGAAGGTTGGCTCACGCTCCTCCTCCTGGCAGTCTTCTGCTGGCTCCTCATGGGAGAGCGTCCACGATAGCTCCAAGATGAAGCAAAAAACTATGTTATGGAAAGCCAAAATTAAAATAAACACAAGAAATGAGACCGGAAAAGAGAAATCCACGTAACAAAGAAGAGACCAAGATAGAATGAGAGGACTACATGCGACCGTAACTTCCCAAAAGGTAAAATATTTTAAAAGAAAAATTTGAGCGACCAGTCCAACAAACGTCCTATTGCAGCATGTCACTTTCAATTAGTTACGGTGGGCAAGAAAATGGTAATTGGCTTCGGTGATTAAAATTATCAAGATTCAGTGACAGGATTGCGACGAAAAGTATGGACAGTAGAGAACTCGAGATCACCTGGACTTACCATCTTATTGACAACATCTATAGCGTCTCCCAGGTTTGATGCCTGGAATCCTGTAGCGCGGAAGGACTTGAGCAGCTCCGTGAGGTCCAGTCCACAGTTGAAATCATAGCCTGCTATCTTCAAAAATTTCGCCTCGTGTAGATCCTCCGACTGCTTGAAGACAGATGAGCGGGCTGTCTCGAGCGTTGTCTCCTCTCCTTTCTTCCCAGCCTCATCCAT